AATTTCAGTAGTTTATGTCTTTCAAGGAATTTGTCCATTTATTTTCTTTTATTGCATCTGAATTTTGAGTGATATTTAGAACACTGCACTTTTTTCCTATCAGCACACGAGCCGATTCTCAGACACTTCTTTTGCTGCCTCCTCTCCCTACCCCCACAAACTACGCTCTCCAGTGAACCTTTTCTCTGTCCCTCCAGGCTTTGGGACATCCCAGACTTTCTCTGCCCCTTTTAACAGACCCTGCTCAAGAGCAAAAGAATCTACTTGGTAGGACCTTCTTTACTCCCTACAATCCTTCTTTTACCTAAAGAAGTGAGACCCTGATGGGAAATCCAAGTTAGTGCTAACCTGTGCCAATGCAGACTCTTTTAATCTTTCATTTCCTATTAAATTCTTTGCTCAGAAAAGGAAACAGATTCAATGATGGGATGAGACTGGATTCAGTTAATTCAGATACACTGAATTATAACTGAAATACCCTTCATACTGCTTTTCCACATAGTTCTATCAATTATTGACATTGGGTATTGAAATAGCCAACTTTCATTATTGAATTATCCATTTGTCCTTTCAGTTTTGTTTATTTTGCTTCATGTATTTTGGGACTCCCTTGTTAGGTACATGTTTATTTACAGTTATCTCTTCCTAATGTACTGACCCTTTTATCATGATGAAATATCCCTCTTTGGCTCTCAGGATATTTCTTGTCTGATATTAATATGGCCACTGCAGCTCTCTTATGATTACTATTTTGTAAAGTACCTCTTTTTCCATCTTTTAATTTAAAATCTATTTGTGTCTTTTTATTCAGGTGAAATTCACATAATATTAATCATTTAAACTATACAATGCAGTGGCATGTCGTACTTTCACAAAATTGTGCAACCACCAAAATTTAAAAAAAGTTTCCATTACCACAGAAGAAAACCCTATGCCCATTAAACAGTCACTCCCCAAGTCTACCTTTCCTCAGCCTCTGGCAACTACCCCAATTTGCTTTTTGTTTCTATGGATTTACTTACTCTGTGGATATTTTGGGATTTGTATAATATGTGACCTCTTATGTCTATTTTTTTTCCCCTTGGCATGTTTTCATGGTTCATCCACATTGTAGCATGTAGCAGTACTTCATTCCTTTTTATTTCTGAATACATCCCATGATATGTATATATCACATTTTGTTCATTCATTCATCCTTTATGGACATTTGGGTTGGTTTGCTCCATTTGGCAATTGTGAACAGTGCTGTTAGGAACATTCACGTACAAGTATTATATTTAAGTACCTACTGTCAGTTCCTTTGGGTATATACCTAGAATTGGAATTGCAGGGTCATATGGTAATTCTATTGCCTCATAAAATGAGTAAGAAAGTGTTGCTGCTTCTGTTTTTGGAAGAGTTTGAGAAGGATTTCTGTTAATTCTTTAAATGATTTGCAGACTTCACCACTGAAGCCATCTGGTCCTGGGGTTTTCTCATTTGGAAGGTTTTGATTATTGATTCAATCTGTTTATTTGTTATAGGTCTATCAATATTTTCTATTTCTTGTTGAATCAGTTTTGGTTGTTTGTGTGTTTCTAGGAATTTGTCCATTTTGTCTAGGTTATCTAATTTTTTGATTAACAACTTTTCATACTATCTTTTAGTCTATTTCTACAAGATTGGTAGTAATAGCCCCACTTTCATTCCTGATTTTAGTAATTTGTGCCTCTTTTTCCTTTTTTCTTAGTCAGTCTAGACAAAGATTTATCAATTTTGTTGATCTTTTCAAAAATTCCACTTTAGGTTTTGTTGATTTTCTTCATTGTTTTTCTATTTTCTATTTAATCTCTCTCCACTCTAATCTTTATTACTTCAGTTCCTCCTGTTGCCTTT